GTATATATATATATATATATATATATATATATAAATCTGGATAATCTATCAATAAATATCTCAAAGATAATGGAATTTTACAAAGAAAGAATAAGGAAACAAAAAGATATCTTCATGATACCAATTTAAAAGTATTTAATGTATTTTATCAAAAGTTTTGAATAAATATAAATAAAAATTACATAATTTTATTTACTGGTGCAATAAATATATTTTTATTTTGGTAAAAATATACTTTTCGTTCCTTATATTATTTATTAGATTCAATTTACTCTTACTTTAATTAATTGAAGTAATTTAGCCTCACATCTTTAAAATATATTTCAATGTTTGATTTTTCGTCTCTTTTATTTAAATACTTAACGGATATGACACGTGTCATGCCACATGTCATGTTGTCATGTCACATGACTAGATATAATGACACATGGCATGATGAAATGACACATGATATGATGACATGACATGTTGCATGACAGCTTAACACATGGCATGACACGTGTCAAATCTGTTAAGTATTTAAACAGAGGCAACGGAAAATCAAACATTGAGATACATTTTAAATGTGTGGGACTAAATTGATTCAATTAATTAAAGTGGGACTAAATTGACACTAATAAATAATATAAGGGACGAAAAATGTATTTTTTCCTTTTATTTTTACTATCTTAATTAACTTTCATAAAATACTAATTAATAAGATGGATATGAATGATTTTGATTAGAGTTGTGTTATTTTTTTTATCAGATTTGATTAAATCAGTTTGAATTTTATTTTTCTAATCTTTTTCAAAATCCAAATCGAAGCAATTTGATCCTATTGGTTTCTTATAAGGTCTAATGAATTTAGAAGTGAGTTTCTTTGATTTTATTGCTCTATCTACCCTAGTGGTGGGTGTGACTCTCAAGAAGACAGAATCACCTTCTTTAATTCTAAAGTTTTGACTACTTCTTGCAATTCTCATATTCTCTTGAATCCTCTTAATCTTCTCAATTGTTTGTTGAAATAAGTCTAGTCCAACAATAAGGTCCTTTTGTGGTGGTTCATAGAATTACTAAACAATCTCCTTTTAAAGTTGTATATGATTTTAATCCTCTCACTCCTTTGGATTTGATACCTATCCCTGATACTATTTCTTTCTTTCATAAAGATGGAGCATCTAGGGTAAAATTTGTGAAAATGTTACATTAAATGGTTAAAAATCAAATAGAACAACAAACTCAAAAATATGTTGAATACTCATCTCTATTGAGAGCCACCGTTGAGCCTCTCAAACCAGTAAGCGACAATGAGGTCAGCGCCGAGTACCTCAAGTCAAACCAAGGAGCACCGTTGAGCATCCATCAAAGGTTCCGCGGTCCACCTTTACAAAGGACGTCAATACTTATCTCGATTGAGAGTCACTATCGAGCTTCTCAAATCAGTGAGCGACAATGAGGGCACCGTCGAGTACCTCAAGTCAAACTAAGGAGCAATGTCGAGTATCCACCAAAGGTTGTTGGTCCTTCAAAACTAGTACAAGAGCGAAAAAGGTTGATGGACCCTCAAAACGAGTATAAGAGCGAAAAAGGTTGTTGGACCCTCAAAACCAGTACAAGAGCGGAAAAGGTTGTTGGACCCTCAAAATCAGTACAAGAGCGGAAAAGGTTGTTGGACCCTCAAAACCAGTACAAGAGCGGAAATAGGTTGGTTGAAGCCTTAATATCAATCCAGCCTGGAGAGGCTAAACTCAGAACATACTCCCTCTTCAACGAGCTACGAATAAAAAATCACACTATCATGAGACAAGCAAAAGCAGCAAGAAGCATCTACACCAAGCCAGAAGCCTAGATGGCACAGTTTACCACCCTTAACACCTAACGGAGCATACAACCCAACACTAAGTTGCTCCAAAGGGAAAGAATATAGGTAAACACCATCTACCCGAAGAAAACAACGTGGAGGCATCTATTGTCAAAACAAAAGTGAAGACTCGGATCTCCACCTCACCATCACAAGAAAAGCAACTAGAGCAAATGGCATGGAGCATCTACTCGAAGACAGAAGATCAGGTGTACAGTTTGTCACCCTTGTTACCCAACGGAGTACGCAATCCAACATTCAGCTGCTCTGAAAGGTAAGGATACAGGTAAACCCACCTATTCGAAGGAAACGACGTGAAGCGCTAGCACGAAGAGACAAAGAGAAGACTCGAACGAAATGTATACATCTTTACTTACCTTTGGAAAAGCAAAGACCTAGCTATCCTAAAGGACAAGTAAATAGGGGTATCTATAGACACCTAATTTCATCATAAGGTACCGATTTAGGGTGTTGTAGGAGTGCTTAATACATTTCCTATACGTACCCGACCCCGAGACCCAATTTTGGTTATTAAGGTCATTATTGGATTTTCGAAAATCTTTTTTTTTCCAATATTTTGAGTAGGGATGACAAAAATACCTGCATCTGCAAGTATCTGCAGGTAAAATCCGCTACAAATAATAAATGGATAGGCTAATTGGGTACCTGCAGATAATGAGAAGGAATAATTTTTTACTCGTTTATAAACGGGGCGGGGGCGAGTATGATGATATCCATACCCGCGGGTACCCGTTTAATAATATTTCTTAAATATCCTAATTATCCTTGTACCACATAACCTTAAAACTACACTCCCTCATCTTTGTGATATAAGACATTCACTTACTTGTGAGATTGATGTATTTTAAGTTAGTGATTATCTTACATTTTTATTATTATTTTAACAAAATTAACGTTAAATACAAGTTCAAAATTAACATTAAATTTTTATTTTTAATATTTCAATGACATTAAATATAAAATTATTTGTAATATAATTTTTTTAATTTCTTAAAAAATTTATCAATATCCATGGATATTCGTGGGTATTTAAGAAATTCATGGATACTCGTTTAATGGACACCCACACGGATATGGGGTGGGTATGGAGCTAATTTTCATCCAACAGGGCAGGGATGGATTTACTATTACCCGCCCCCATAGTGCCCCATTGCCATCCCAGTTTTGAGCAAAACATTGGTGGTGACTCCATGAACTTGTTTTCAAAACCATTATTTGAGGATTAGTCTAGTATCTGGACATTCCTTAATTAATGAGATTTTCAAAAATGGTAATCTAAACAATCGGTCATAAGATCAGTTTGGGTTACGACATGTACTAATATCATGTTTAAGTCATTTAATTGAATAAAAATAGCACTAGGGTCGATTTAGAAAAACAAATAAATACACCCATTAAAAATAGTAAACATGCTCAAGAATTTTTGAAACTTTTTCTAGTGATTTCATAGGCATGATTACACATGTTAATGGTCTCAATACACCAAAAAGAAGCCATGAAAATTCTTTTAAAAGAAAATGATAGAAACAATATAGCAAGAATAACTTTTCAATCATTTAAGACATGTAAGAGATAAAAGAGAATTCCTCCATACAAAGTTTCGGTATAATCCCTTTCATACATATACATACAACCTAGGGATTGAGAGTCAATCCCACTACCCAACAATTAACTCACACTCTGGAGCGATGTTTTCACTCTTCCCTTACCTTGATGGCACTAAAATCTTGACTCAAATCATCGAGTTTCCCTCTAACCGTCTCGCGTTTTCCTCCTTCTTCAAATTCATAAGATGAACGATAAAATTTTTTAATTGAGGCAAAACTAATTGCTAACATATTTAAATAAAAACTCTGACATTTACCCGCACGTGTAACCTATTTACAAAAGTCCAATTTAATTAATCTCACAAATTTAAATTTTAAAAAGATAAAAACCAATCATATCTTATCATTAATCTTTTAAATTATATTATTCCTTAATTAATTAATTATAAAATATTTTAAAAGATAAATACATAATTATCAAAATCAAGAATATATCTTTTGAAAATAACAAAATAACTAATTACCTTATAATATCTCTCAGCATATATTATTACCCCAATTAATTAAATAAAAAAATTATTAATTTATTTCGAAAAAGTGGGATGTTACATGAGCTTCTTGTAGCAAAGTATGTTATGATGAAGAGTGAATAATAGAAGAGAAAGAGTAAATTACAATTCGAAACGAAAAAAAAGGTGTTGAAGGGTGGCACTTTTATATAGTATTATTGCCAGGACTAATGATAAAATAGAGATTCTTGATTTATAATGCTATTAATAAGATAGACATTTAACCAAACAAACTTTAAATTTGACAGTTAAACAATTTTAATAAAAAAAAAATTGTTACCTTCATGAGTTGTGCATTTTTGCATTGCAAATTTTGAATTTCTTCTTCTTTTTCAAATTTCGAGTGATTAATTTTATTAAAAATAAAACTATACCACTAGCAATATTATTGAGAAAGATAAAAAAAAAAATGATTGATATATTAAAAAAAATAAATGGAGAAAAATAAGACGAGTCATTTAAATATTTATAAATTGTAGGAGTATAAATATGAACACTATTATCACTAATATAATCAAAATATATTAATATACTAATTTGAGTAATGTAGTTATATTAATTATTTTTCTAAAATGTGTATGTATGGATGTGTACAAGACACTTTTTTTTTTGTTCGTCTCTAGAGTATCCACCGTCGATAGCGGTGACTAATCTCCTCGCTACGTTGGAGGCACCTCAAATTAGTTTTTTATATTATTTTTAATAATACAAACTAATTTATCTCTTTTATTATCTTTTCTTTTATTTTCTATTTTTCAAGAAAATACTATTTTTTATAACTATTTTTGAAATATCTTATAAGTAATAATATAATTAAAGAAAAATACCTTGAGTTGTTAAAATAAGTTGAAAGTCGTATAGTCTTTTCCAATCCACTTTGAATTAGAGAGAGAAATTTTACTTTTTTTTTAATTATAAGAAGATATTATATATTAAACCGTACAATAAGGGTTTATGAATAAGTATATATTTTATAATTTGAAAACTTTAGAAATATTTGAAAACTAAAAATAAGTATTAAAATAAATAAATAGATATAATTAAATATATTAAAATATGATTCAATTTTATTTACCACTTCAAATTTTCTTGACATGACCAGTCAAGTATCCAAAGAAAAATCGTATTTCTTTCGAAAACGATTCTAACCAAAATTAATTTTATTAGAACTTCAATAACCAGATTTCTTTGGGATAATTCTAAATTACAAACCGGAAGAACTTCAGTAATCAAATTTATTACTATTGACATGCTGAATATAAAATGCAACATTTCCCTTAATACCACATGTTCTCCACTATAATACACATCAATTTAAACATAGTTCATTGCCCTAGGAAACACGATGCTACATTGAGGACCTTCTACTGTTCATCCAGTTCTAGCATTACACTGTCCATAGATGGTCGCAGATGTGGGGATTCATGGGTGCAGAGCAAAACTAGTCTTCTCAGCTTGGTTGCCTCTGATTCTGAGAACACCCCTTCAAGATTCTCATCAATTATTATATCATTCAAGCTAGCACCTTCTACCCTTTGGCAATTTAATTGAGTGGTGTCACGTTTTCCAGTGAGAAGCTGAAAAACTATCACTCCAAATGCATACACATCACTCTTTTGGGTCAAACGACCCGTTGTGGTGTACTCTGGAGGCAGATATCCCATGGCAGCACTAGCTTTGAGAGCAGAAAAAACAACATCATCTTCAAGGAGCTTGTGAACACCTGAATCTGCAAGTAAAGCTTTATACCCAACATCAAGAAGTATATTTTCAGCTGATATATTCTGGTGCACTATACCATGTTTGCTTCCTTTCTTCCCATGCAGATAACAAATACCTGCATAAAGATAGAGTCACCAAATCTGTTAATCCGCACATGACACCATAGTAAACCAACAGAAAAATGCTGCAATGCAACAACAGAGTACTAATTATTTTTTATTAAAAATGTTTTTAGCATATAAATTTTCATCATTTCTTAATTTTAGTCCTTGACCAATTCTTTTACTAGTTATAGCTCTTAAACCTTGGCACATTTTCATTTTAAGTTGTGTTAACATATTTTATCGTATCGTTAACATCGAGATTTAATGTTGACAGAAAAAGAAAAACTAACCTTTGGCAATACCACGAATGATGAACACTCTAGTGGACCATTGAAGCACCCTTCCACTCTCTCTCTCAACATCAAGATACTCCAACAAACTCCCATTTGCGAGAGACTCATAAACCAGAAAACATTCCCCGCGGCCTTTGGAGCAGCAAAACCCTCTCAACCGCACCACATTTTCATGCCTCAACGAGCTCAACACCTTCAAGCCTTTCAGAAACTCAGCTTCATCAGCCTTGCAGCTTGTCTTGGCAATGCACTTCACAACCACCACAGAACCGTCTCTTAACACCCCACTGTATGCAGCTGAGAAACTACCCTTCCCCAACAGATTCACCTCCGAGAAGCTCCGAGTTGCGCGTTCCACTTCTTCCAGATTCAACACGAGGCTCTCCAGAAACTCCTGCGAGTACCCGCTTCCACCTTTGGACAATGGATCCCATCCGTTTGAATACTCCAAACTTATCAGAGGAGATGCACTTTGCACGCACGCTTGCTTGGTCTGGTTGTTGGAACTTGCAACTTTCTGCTTCTGGCGGCGGTGTCGTAGGAGCAAAAGTAGACCAGAAATAGTGGAAGCAGAGAAAACTCCAACCACCGCAAAAACCAATCCTGTTTTTGATGATTCTGATGTGTTTTTACAGTTGCGGCAGTTTTCAGGTTTTGGTTCAGTTAAGGAAATATTAACGGGCTCGTATGGTTCGGGTCTGACTGGGTCTGAACTGCTTACTGCTTTGCAAGAAGCTAAATTGGTAAATTCTGTCCCACATAAACCAGGGTTGTTCATGTACTGAAACCCACTTTTGAGTCTTTTCAGAGCTGCATATATAAATTGAAACCCACCTTTTTAATTTTTTTTTTCACCCAAAAATTAAGAAGATTTAGAGAAAATGGGATATTTTTAATGGGTTTTATTTTTTTATTTTTTATTTTAGATTTTTCTACATTTTCAAACACTTAAATAACACTCAAACTCAACATTTTTCTCAATCTTTCTCTTCTTCTCATATTACATCACTAATCATATCATCCTTTTGTATATTTCATGTCTTTCTATTTCTCTCAATGTTTAAAAAAAAAAGGGTCTAAAATCTATTTCTATTTCTAAATATGTAGGCTTAAAAAAATAAGTTGATAAAATTATGAAATTGAAAAGAGTAATTAAACCAAAACTGTTCATGAATTAAAGTGAACTACAAGAAATTTAGTCCCTAAGGATTGATTACCTGTGGGGACACTACCCGAGAGAGAATTGTTTCGAATATCTAGACTCTCCAGCTTAGGTGCATTAGCCAATGTCACTGGAATTGGACCAAACAGGGTATTGAAGCTAAGATCTAATCGCTCCAATGTCTCCACTTCACCCAAACTCGCTGGAATTGCGCTACTTAATTGATTATATTGCAGTGCAACAACACTGAGCTTCCTTAACCTCCCCAGTTCAGTAGGTATACTCCCACTAAACTTGTTATAACAAAGCTGCAAAACTGTATGCTCTTAACAGATTAGGATACAGGAGAAATAAATGCAATACAAGTGAATAGTAGTTCACCACTTTAACTTCATCCAAGAAAGCACAGTTAGAACATACACACACATAGATGACCATACATGATAAAATGAAGTGACCCAAATGGCCAGCTGCAGCTCAAAAAGACTGAACATGAGTACTAAAGCAGTTCCTCACCGATTAAGATAACAAAAGTTGAGAATGAAATTACGAGACCAAATATCATAAAACACATGCACAAGGGTAGAGAGTGTGAGAGGGGCAAAAATGTTAGGACTTAGAGACTCCTAATATTGCCACGTAAAGCTTTTACTTTATTGATAATAACATGATAGTATCTCTTTTCTCTTTGACAACTCCACTCATCTATGTATCAATTTGCAACTTAATCTACCCAATAAGTAGCCTTTTCCGTATCCTAATTCTAAACGAAAGCATCAACTTTTAAGACTTCATCAGCAAAAAACCAACTCAACAAACTATTCTATTAAGAGGGAGACCCTCGAGAATTAAATACCGCTCTCAGCTTCACTTTTTTATATAAGCAAATGAATGTTATTAACGAAGGAAAGGCTAATTCAAGCCTAAGACAAACCATGTTAAACTTCATATTCTACTCAACACATACTCCTAACAAAAAGATGAGAAATTTACAAGAAAAAAAAAAAAAAAGAACGAGGAAGCCACCTTGAAGATTTGACATATTGCCAATCTCAGGAGGGATATGACCAGAGAGGTTATTGACATTGAGATACAAATCAGTTAACCAAGTCAAAGTGGTAATCTCCTTTGGTAACATCCCATTGAGGGCATTGAAGTGAAGGTAGAGAGCCGTCAAGCTCTTGAGACCAGCCACGGCTTCAGGTATCCTTCCAGAAAGACCCTTTCCCTGCAGCGAAATATTGGTAACAAGACCTTGCTCATTGCAAGCCACACCCTCAAAAGAGCCACTACTACAAGGGTCCGAATGTGGGGTCCATGAGACCAACACACGGTTCTCTGGGTCCAGAGAGTCTCTGATGGCCATGAGTGTGTCAAGCTCGGTCATGGAGCTTGAAACAAGAGATGGAGAAAAGGCCCATATGATGAGAATTTGCAGTTTCAGAAGAAGCAGGTACATGTTCACTTCAAGGGAACTACAACTTCACTCCCTGTAATATTTATTCCATGAGTGCGAGATCTTAGTAGACCGAAAGAGTCACGTGAAGTGAAACTGTGTGTGTATTTGGATTGGACAGTGTGCAAATGTCACAAGATGTGTAGTTTGTGGTCACAGGGATGTTTGGTTAGAAAAATAATTTAGGAAGTGACAAGAAAAGTAAGAAACAAGAGTCTATGGCTACATGGATAAAGGAGCTAGCTTTGAATAAGGGTAACATTATTGCATATTCCAGAGGGACACCGTGTGTCTATAGTTCCAGTGCACGTGAATGTCTATGTTATTTAGTTAATTTTTTAATTTTAAAAAGTTAATAAAACTTTCTTTCGTAATAAAAGTTAATAAAATTTAGAGGTTTTTAAATACTTTTTCGTTCCTGTAAAATAGTGTTTTTATTTTAGTATTTTTTAAATTATTTTTTCAATTTTGTCATGCAATTTTTTTTTATTTCATCTCCGTCCTTGTCATCAAATTGATGTATAAATATAATGAGAAATATTAAAAAAATTATAAGACAAAAATAGAAAAGTCAAAATATTATAAAGAACAAAATTTGAGAGAATTAGAACAAAAATAACTAAAATTAAGAAGGTTAAAAAAATAATTTATTATATACATGTGATAGGAAAATTAAAAGGACTTGTTACATTTTTATTTTAGTCAAATTAAAATAAAAGATTTGATTACCTTTATTCACTGTAATTTCATGTACTTTATTTTAGCTTTTATAATTAAAATTATTCAATTTTAATTTTTATACACATTTTTTTTCAATTCTTACAATTTATAAACTTTATACTATAGTTTATAGATGATAGAAATTAAAAGAAAATAAAAATAGTATATATAGAAACTAAAAATAAATTATTAAAAAATAAATTTATGAAATTCTAGTGATAATTCTTACTTGGAAAAAACAAAAAGTTTATGAATCTAGCATCGATTAAACAAAATGTAGTGGGTAATTAAACTAAAATAAAATATTTGCGAGGTACTTCCGAGGAGCTTGAATAAGTAAGTAGCCCTCTGGATTTACGCTTGAAGGTCACTTCTCAAAAAGACAAATACTCTTTACCATGATATCTAGGATGCTGATGTTTGTACTCAAATGTCTATTTCTGAGTTTTGTAGGTGCATTCATTTCAGCCTCGGTTGTGCAAGGCTCAAACAGTTGCGAGTACCCAGCAATTTTCAACTTTGGTGACTCAAACTCAGACACAGGAGCAATATCAGCTGCATTCACAGTGGTGCATTCCCCCAATGGTCAAAACTTCCTTGGAAGCCTCTCGGGAAGGGCTTGTGATGGCCGTCTCATAATTGATTTCATTAGTAAGCAAATCACTCTTAATTACCCTTCATATTTTTTTGCTTTATTCCTATGTACTTAATTATTAGCTTAATGGGGTCCCTCTTGTCCTTACTTTGTACTTAATTATGGACTGTGTATGTTTATGTCTACATTATTTTTCTGAACCTATCTATGCAGCTGAAGAATTGAAGCTACCATACCTTAGTGCGCATTTGAACTCGGTTGGATCCAATTACAGGCATGGTGCCAACTTTGCAACAGGAGGGTCATCAATTCTTCCTGGTGGTTATAGTCCTTTCCATCTTGGACTTCAAATATCTCAGTTCATACAGTTCAAGTCACGCACCCACATTCTCTTCAACCAGCATTCTGTCAACAACAGTTAGTTCCTCTTTCCCACTACGTATTCTTCCAAGTTAGTGTCATATCATAGGTTCCCCTTTACCCCTAAGGAACTTTAAGGGAACTTGACAAGAAACGGTTTGAAGCTTGAACTTATGTATCTGAGGGTGCATTCCATTATTGAGAATTTAGTGAAATACTGAAATAAATTAGATTGCTTTATTGAGAAACTCATTTTTTCATTAAAAATGGCTAATGAGAAATGCTAGAAAGATACTCAGTTACTCACTAATACACTATTTTGAACATGCTAGAGACTAGTGATTGAAGTTTATTGAAAATAACAAAAAGAAAATTGTAAGTTCAACTTCATATTTAACGGGTCTCTCTTATGATTTAAAATTTTAACAAGTAGTAGAGAGATAGTTAGAATGAGTGTTAGAGAATGTGTTTATTCTGACAATTTTTGTGATTAGTTCCTTCTTAAAACAACCGGCCTTGTGTGATATTCCAGGAACAAAACTATCTTTTAAAAGTATTCCAAAACCGGATGACTTCTCTAGGGCCCTTTACACCTTTGATATTGGACAAAATGATCTTGCCTATGGTTTTCAGCACACGTCAGAGGAACAAGTTCGAGGGTCCATTCCTAATATCTTGAGGCAGTTTTCTCAAGCAGTGCAGGTAAGCAATGAAAGGCCCTTAGGAAAAATTTAGATTATAAGTTTGTTTAGAATTAATACTTAACTGTTATGTGTGATGTTTTAGCAACTATACAATGAAGGAGCAAGAGTATTCTGGATTCACAACACGGGTCCCATTGGGTGCTTGCCCTTCAATTTCCTTTCTTATGAGTCAAAGCAAGGTAACCTAGATGCCAATGGTTGTGTGAAACCTCAGAATGAGATCGCTCAGGAGTTTAACAGGCAACTCAAGGACCAAATGGTTCAGCTAAGGAGAAAGCTGCCTCTAGCCAAATTCACTTATATTGATGTGTATAAAGCCAAATATCAACTTGTCAGCAATGCAAGGAAGCTAGGTGATCTTTATGTCTCCAAATATACACACAATTGTGTTAGTGTGCAAATGTGAATGAGAGTCTCACATTAAATAGAATTGGATATGTTAAATTGTATATAAGTGAGAAAGACTCAAAACCGATGTCTTTGGACCTCTTTGGTAAATTTTTTCGCAAGCACTTCTAAGAGAGGAAAGTTGAAGGAAAAAATGTAATAAATTTCTCCTTAAGCTTATTTTGATTTTTCTTCATATTTTTTTCCTCCTATAAGTACTTCTGGAAAAACTTATTCGAACCGATCATAAGATTTTAATTTAAGATGTAGTGTCAAATTCACTTTTGTGGTTTGCTTATGACTCATATATAGAGCTTTCCCCTGTATCTAACCCCCTCATGTGTCCAACAAAGTGGATTGCATTGTATTGGTTATCTTGGCTATAATTAACTTTTATGCATGGCTTTTGGCAGGTTTTGTGGATCCTTTGAAGTTCTGTTGTGGCAGTTACCACGGTTACAAGATAACTTGTGGGATGAAAAGCACAGAAAACGAAACAGTTTATGGCAATGCATGTAAAAATCCATCTCAACTTGTTAGCTGGGATGGCATACACTACTCTCAAGCAGCAAACCTCTTGATTGCTAAGCAAATTCTTTCTGGCGTCTTCTCTGACCCACCGGTTGCCATTGGGCAGGTGTGTTTCTGAGCAAAATTCAAGTGGTATTTCGTTCTGTGTATGCACGTTTTCGTGTTGATACTTTAATATGAGAGTTGAGGGGTTTAATTACTTCAAGAATTGAAGAGATGTTTCATTGAGTAAGAAGATACCATAATTGATGTTCTTGGCAAATTATTTCAGTTTGGAAATTTCTGGTTGCTATAATGGCAGAGCTGCCAGAAATATCTAATTCCGAAAGATATGGGTCAATAGTTCATTGGGGATGGATAATAAGATATGTCAAAGATGTTCATGAGAAGTGGACTTAGTATTTTTCATTACCGTTTCATTCACTTTTTCTTTGTTACGAACTAAATACTACTCCTTATTTGCATCTATATATAAAAAAATGTTTAAATTTTTTTAACTGAAATATAATAAATTTTAATTAAAGTATTTCTATGATAATAAATGAGAACGGTATATATCATGAATTTAATTAAAGATATTTTAGAAATTGTGGTATATATTTTATATAAAATTGAAAAAATCAAATATATTTAATAAATTTTTAATTTGACTGTTTTTCTTATAGAAGTTCATATGGAGTACTATAAAGAATACAGTCAACGACTGGTATATGATTGGGCACATAAGAAATGAGAAATTGTAAAATTATTTGTTGAATAAGAAGAGATAACAAATGAAGAAAGTGAAATAATAAAATGATTGATGTAACAAAGAGAAATAGAATATTATTGTAAAAAGTATTATAAAATAAATTATTGTATGATTAATATACAGTAATGAAATAACATTATTTACCCCATCAAGTTCAATGATTCGTCTGGAATATATGTCTAGCGATAAAAGTTGATGAAAACAAAAGTGTAACAACGTTATTTTTTCCGACAAATGAGTACAAATATTTAAGATAAACTAAAATAATATAAAATTATTATTGTCATCTCCTCGTATGATTTAAATATACTATCTTGAGATTTATTTATATTCAAACTATATATGTATTATCATATAATTTTATATTAGTGCAATTAATTAAAAAATTATTTACTTTTAAAGTATAGATAAAACATATTATGTTATTTTAATATCTTATTTTAATTCAGTAATAGGGTTGAAATAGTATGTACAATCTTAAATTTGAATTATATTACCATCATCATAATTTTTATTAATATAAAATATTTTAATTTAGTTTTTGTACCGGAAGGGTCCCATCGGCCACGTGGACCGGCCACGTGGACCGACACGTCATGTCCTATCAGATATTGACGCATTTTGGACACTGCTTCGGCTCGGTAAGGGGCCGAGAATCATGGTGAATACAACCCTCTTCCTATCGGCTCGGCCAAAGAGGTTGTCTCGGTCGTTCCTTGTCAACTCGGCCAGAGGTTCTCTCGGCCGTTCCATATCGGCTCGGCCAAGAGGTTGTCTCGACCATTCCTTGTCGGCTCGGCCAACGACCAACAGTCAGCATAGTTAAGGCGATAATCGCGATTAACAAAGACAAAGGTGCGATTAAGGTATAATCAGTCGATTAGCATCGTATTACCTAATTTGGTAAGCTTCAGAAGAGGCCCACTACTGACAGGGCCCATCAAAGCTAGTATAAATAGGTCACTTATAACGAGATACGTCACTGTTCAATCATTATCCTAGAGAATCGTGCTTGTCCTGACTTGACCGTCGGAGTGCCTTTTGCAGGTACCTCCCCCCTCTGAAGTATCAACCCGAAGCTCTCATTCGGCCCTCCAGTTACTAGAAGATTACGAGTGTGCCCTCAGACAGGTACATTTTGGCGCCCACCGTGGGGCCGAACTGATAGCTTTGAAGAGACGGACTGAGCACTATTTTGAAGAGACCAAGTATCATGGCGAAGACAAGAAGAACACACACCGAAGACCATTGATCCGAAGATGAACACCGATCCGAGGCGGACAATGCCGAAACGGTTGATGAGATGAACATGGCTGAGATGTTACGACAGATGAAGGAGGAAATGGCTGCCATGAAATAACAACGAGAGAAAGACGCTCGTGAAATAGCTGCCTTGAGGGAGGAGAACGCTGCCCTGAAAAACCAAAACTAAGACCCCACGTGGAAACCCTCCGAGCCGACCCACACTCAGGGGTCATTCCACTCACTCGGACCTCATACTTATATCCCTCGCACCTCTACTGCCGCCCCGGGAAACCATGCCTCGACTGCTCAGGCACCCGGCCGACCGATGCACACTACGCCGGCCGGAGCACACCGACACCCCTTCACCCCGAGCATCATGCAGTCCTCCCTTCTCGACCATTGGAAGTCCCTCCCACTAGACAAGTATGACGAAACTACAGACCCCGACGAGCATGTCGACATTTTCCTCACCCAGGTCACCCTCAGCACCACTGACGACGCTGCCCTATGTCGCATCTTTCCAACGTCTTTGAGAGTAAGAGCGTTGAGCTGGTTCACACGTCTCCCGGCCAAGTCGATCGACTCTTTCAACCCCTTAGCATCCCAATTCACCATCCAGTTCGCCACCAACCAGCCTCACCAACTAACCTCCCTCGCATTGGTGAGCATAAGACAAGAGAAGAAGGAATCTCTCCGGACCTTCATGAGCCGATTCAACAAAGCGGCACTGGAAATCCGAGACCTAAATCTGGTCGTCGCCCTTCACCATCTGACTACAGCTCTGAAGTCAGGACCGTTTGCTAACAGCATATGCAAAAAAAACCCCATCTGACATGGACAATCTGAGACGCCGCGCCGATAAATACATGTAGATGAAGGAACTTGCGGAATTTCGCAATCAGGCCAGGGCAGAGGTAACGGCCAAAATCGAGAAGCCCGCCGAAAGCTCTTTCCGAAGCCGTCCCAAGGACCTCGTCTCACAAGAAAAACCTATTCGCGGACCGAGGTACTCTCATTATACTCCGCTGAATACTAGCCGATCGGCTGTCTTGGACCAAGCACTTGCTTCGGAGGTCCTGGCAGTGCCGAAGCGAGCCGCGACCCCTCCTCGTGCCGACACTACCAAGTCCTGCAAGTATCATCGTAACAGGGGCCACTCGACTGAGGAGTGCGCGACCTTGAAAGACAAAATTGAGGACTTAATCAAACAAGGGCAGCTTCAACGTTTTGTCGATCGACCTCGTTCTCCCCGATACGATGACCGCCGGCATCGTCGAGATCAGCCTGACCAAGAAAGGTCCAACAAGCGTCCCTACAGGGAACGGAGCCGATCGAGGGGCCGAAAGGAAGACGAGCCGATACCCCAGCCCCGAAGAGTCATCAACACCATTACCGGTGGATTTGCAGGCGGTAGTTCTACCTCTTCAGCCCAAAAAAGACACCTCCGAGCCGTCCGAGCTGTGCATGCGGTTGAACGCACTCAGCGAAGGATGCTGGCCATCACATTCACCGAAGCTGACTTTAAAGGCATCGATCCTGATCAGGACCACCCCATGGTTATCAGCGTTGAGATCCACAACTGCATTGTTCGGAAGACGTTGGTCAATCAAGGAAGCTCGGCCGATATCCTCTACTGGAACACCTTTAAACAGCTTGGCATCCTGGAGGCCGAGTTGATCCCATACAACGAGCCCTTGGTCGGATTCTCTGGTGAGCGTGTCCAAACGAAAGGATACATCAAGTTATCCACCCGCTTCAACTTCGACGGAGTTGAAGCCCGAGACATCCCAGTCAAATATGTGGCTGTACACGCCAACACGTCGTACAACATTCTTCTCAAAATCAGGCCGGATCATCACACATGCGTCCTGCTAACTTGGACTTTCTCAAGACTTTGGCAATTGGACAATCAGTACGCACGATGACCTGATGGCTATGGAAGTATTGCCGGAGACGTCGTGCCGTGTGGACCAAACCAAGCACCACCTTTTCCAGAAGTTGGTACCTCCCTTCGGAGTCTTGAAGCAATCGGCTGACAAAATAGATCGGTCTTTGTGAATCTTTTTCTTGCACCAAGACGGCGTTGATTGCTTCATTGGAGACACACAAATACACCACCAGATCCAGATTAGGATCGGGTTTGGAAAGAATCGGGGCCGAGTCGTTGCTTGAGGGTTTTAAAAGCTTCCTCGCATTCTGTCGTCCAGTTGAACTTGCTAGCCTTCTTTAACAGTCTAATGATGGGTTTTGCTGTTTTGGCTAGGCAGGGGAGGAATCGAGAGAGTGAAGTTAGCCGACTGGCTAACTTTTGAACTTCTTTGATGTTGTGCGGACTCCTCATTCCAATAACTGCCTGGCATTTATCTGGATTGGCCTCAATGCCTCTAGCTGAAAACATGAAGCCGAGGAATTTACCCCCAACTATGCCAAAAATGCACTTTTCAGGGTTTAGCCACATGTCGTGTTTCCGAAGCTGTTGAAAGACTTCTGCAAGATCATCTTTATGAGTGCCGAGATCATTTGATTTGACGACCATGTCGTCAACATGTACTTCAAGATTTTTGCCGATTTGAAACTTGAAGATCTTGTCCATCAACCGCTGATAGGTTGCCCCAGCATTTTTTAAACCGAATGGCATCACCCGATAACAGTAGTTGGCCGATTCAGTGATGAAAGCTATTTTCACCTCGTCCTGTGGGTGCATTCGGATTTGATTGTATCCCGAATAGGCATCCAGGTAAGTTAACAGCTTATGCCCTGCCGCCGTCGACCAATCGGTCAATGTTAGGCAATGGGTAGGCATCTTTGGGGTAGGCCTTATTAAGGTTGGTGTAGTCCGTGCACATTTTCCATTTTCCATTGGGTTTCTTGACCATGACCACATTTGCTAGCCAAGTGGTATATTGCACTTCCCGAACGAATCGGGCTTGCAGCAGTTTAGCAAGCTCTGATTCAACAGCTACTTTCCTTTCCGTTCCCATCTTCCTTTTTCGTTGAGCAACCGGTTTGGCTGCCGGGCAGATTGACAATCTATGGCACATAAAATCTGGGTCTATGCCTGGCATGTCCGACGGTGCCCAGGCAAACAAGTCTTTGTTCGAGACGATCACTTTGCTCAGTGCGAGCCTCTCGGTTTCCGACAAGTCGATCCCGATGTAAGTGACTTGGGATGGTTAAAATAAAATAACTAAATAATTTAAAAATTTAAAGAATAAAATATCATAAATATTATTTAAATAAATTATTAAAAATATAAAATATAAAATAAAATTATAATTATAATTGTACTAGTACTCTCTTAAATAATATGAGTACCGTAGAATTTCTCATTTTTTAATCCCTCACTTCCCCTCTCCTTCATTAAAATTCATTCCCTCCACTCTTTTGAATCAGACACTCAAATAAAGAATTTTTTTCTGAAATATTATTTTATTTAAAAAAAATATCTATTATTCGCAAATTTTGAGCACTGTAATTTTTATTTTTTAATGCTTATAATTCGGTTCCCCCAACTTGGTGAGCCGGGTCAGGAAGGAGTTTGACTGCTGGGATGGGGTCGGATCCTACTCGAAGCACTCCACCATGAATAAGAATCTTCGGGTTGGATAGGCAGTAGAGATAGGAACTCCTATCTGTTCTCTAGGGCGGGCTTTCAAGATACTCCATCTGGCTTGAAGATCTCGTTGTGAGTGTGGCCTGACCTTGGTCTTGCTTTCCTTGTGGTTTTCCGCCATCCTGGTTACGGAAGGCTGAGTGTTCTCCCATCTGGATGTATCCAGCAGCACGGGCGCGTAGCTCGTCCATGTCGCGAGGAGCTTAGCGACATAGGCTGTCAACAAACGGTCCGGGCTCGAGTGCCATGAGCATGGCGTGTAGGGCGACCTCGGGATTCAAATTTTGAATTTTCACCGAGATGCTGACAAAGCGTTGCATGAACGTCCATAGTGGTTCGTCATCGCTCTGTCTGAGGCTGGCCAGAGCAGCTGACGTTATGTGATGAGGCCGACTTGTCGCATACTGCGCTGTGAACCATCTGACCAGGGTGCCGAAGCTGTCAATTGACTCGGCGGGTAGCTGGGTATACCAGTTGAGTGCAGCCCCCTTGAGCGAGGTTGGGAAAACCCTGCACAGTATAGCATCCTCATTAGTATAGAGGTTTACCTGGGTGGTGTATAGATTGATATGCTCGTCCGAGTTGGTTCTGTCGTCATAGCGGTCGAGGTGGAAAGGCTTCCGCCCAAAGGGGAGAGGTGTCTCCATGATACCGTCCACAAAAGGATGGCGGCGAAAGGTCATCTGATTCCCCGTGCCGTGGGCAGGGGCGTTGCTGACGTCGTGCGTCGACCTGTTCGTCGGCGCGTGAGACCGATGTGTGGGAGGCTTGGGAGTCGGTGCCCTAGCC